TGTTCATAAAAAGATTTATTATTGATTTGAAAGGATCACATAAATAAGAATAGTTACACACAAAGAAAAGTCTTTACAAGAGCAGTTAGAAATATACATGTAATGGTAAATAGGAAGACCAAGGGAGAGGCTAGTTCACATTCCACACCGGTGTTTACTTTTCGTAAGTAACATCAGCGTTGAAGCCCTCTCCGTTGTCGAAGAATTTGACCACCTGTGGATGAGGAAGGTCTTTCGTTTAGTAAATTAATAAAAATCCGACTTGTTGAATGAAAATGTATCTGAGGAATTTGGTACTCAGTAAAAAAATATATATATGTTTCATCAATAATTATAATATAGCATAAACAAGATACATAAATCATAAAATTTGCACGAATCGAGCGAAGATATATCCGTGATACGATAACCTATCCCAAGAGACTAACCTGAGTGCGACCGTCGGGAAGGAGGACCCGGTACTCGCCCTGCATCGTCTGGCCGTCGCTGTTCTCGACGTGGCTGAAGGCGTTGCCGCTGTCCTGGTCCTGCACGCCCCACTCGAAGTCGTAGGGCATGCCTTCCATGGGGGCGGGAGGCTGTCGCGGGAAATTGAGGAAATGGAGTTACATTTGAGGGAAAAAGAGGGAGATTGAGAGAGAGATAGAGATAAAGATAGAAAAGATAGATAGATAGATAGAGAATGAGAGAGAGAGAGAGAAAAGCACACAAGCGATTTTAATCCAAGTAAGCATTAAAATCACCACTTGTATTCCCACAACACAGTAATACGTCTCTTTTTTTGAAAGATTAATTTGACATGCACTCACTGGAGAAACGATTTTCGGCACAATGTTCTGGGGCTCAGCGATCAGGACGTTGTCTCTGGGCGCCTCGTACAGCTGGACGGGCTCCTGCACGCTCTCGGCCGGGGTCTCGTAGAGGGAGGTCGGCGCCGTTGGGATCTCGTAGCCGTACTGAGGGGCGGCCGCAGCCACTCCCAGCACCAGCGCCAAAACTGCGAACTAAGGAAGGGCTTTCGGTTTACAAAAGGATAATATGCATATCGAATCACACACACATACTATATCTACTGCATGTATCTATATGCGTTCTCTCTCTCTCTCTCTCTCTCTCTCTCTCTCTCTCTCTCTCTCTCTCTCTCTCTCTCTATATATATATATATATATATATATATGTGTGGTGTGTGTGGTGTTGTGTGTGTGTGTTGTGTGTGTGTGGGTATGTATATGTGTGTCTGTGTATGATTATGTATATAATGTGTTTTTTTTATCTATACTCTCTCTGTCTCTGTCTCTTCTCTCTTCTCTCTCTCTCTCTCTCTCTCTCTCTCTCTCTCTCTCTCTCTATATTATATATATATATATATATATATATAATATATATATATATATATATACATACATACATATACACATACACACACAAACACACAATATACATATATATAGGCACACACTACGTCAGCCGATATATAAACCTGGGGACGAACATCAGGAGGATTTCCAAGCCGTGGTCCCATCCTCCGATAAGCATCTGCGTCTAGCGTGGGAGATGCCACCACCAACAAAAACAATAACAACAACAACAACAAAAACGAAGGCGTCTCACTCTACCCTCAGAGACGAACCGTGGCGAGTCTACCTTATAATCCATGATCAGAGAGAGGGATGTGCACTCATGGCTTGCAATGGAAGGGACACTCTTATATACCTGGCGATGGGGAGGACCTTGCTCGTTGCCTCTGGGGGGGCGTGGCTTGACCGGCCTTGCGAGGGACACCGAGGTCGCGCCGCTCACCGTCTCTCGTCGGAAGCTCACGAGGGGAGGAATCCGCAACAGGCGAAATCTGCGCAGACTCACACCCCAGATTTGGCCGATTAGGAGGATAAATCTGACTTCGTGGAGGGAAATGTATTTTTTTTTTTTGTTTTCTCAGGATTTATTTTGTTATTTACTTATCTAATATCATTTATTTATTTATCTTTTTTTGTGGAATACGTTTTTATGCGATGGAAATATAAGGTTACCAATATGGTTTAGAAGCATAATTTGATTTAATGTAGAATTTATTTATTTATCTATTTTTGTGGAATACGTTATGGTGCGATGGCAATATAAGGTTACCAATATGGTTAAGAAGCAGAATTTGATTTAATGTAGAATAGACAATTACTGATTTAAAGATTTGAAACCTTTTATATCTTCAATTTACTGAAGCTTCTATTTTCAATGTGTGTATCTTATTCTAATTGCCATAGATAATTATACCAATTACTGTCATTATGATTTTCATATCATTATCGACGTCGTTATCGTCATCATAATAATTCTTATCATTATCAATTATCATAATATCATTTCATCATTATCATTCAATTAGTATTATCATTATCAATACTAATACCATTATTATTAGTTGTGTGCCATTATAGTTGTAGTTGTCGTTATTATCATCATTGTTGTTGTTATTATGATATAAATTATTATTGCTAGTATCATTATCATTATTATCATTATTAGTATCATTATCATTTATTATTATTATTATATCATTATCATTATTAGTTTTCATTACTATTATTATCATTAATTGTATCATTCTCATTATAGTTATTTATCATCATTATGATCATTGTCATCATTATCATCATTATTTTCATTATGATTATAATTGCTCTTATCACCATTATTAATATCATCAGTATCATTGTCATCATCCTTTATTTTCATCACTGCTATTATCATGATCATCATTATTGTTAGTATCGTTATTTATATTATCTCTTTATCATCGTCAAAAGTACTTCATTATCATACATTATCATCATACTGAATCATGATGATGATTTAATGGTGATCATCATATAATGATAATGAGGATGATGATGATGTGTTAATAATGATTACGATGATGGTGATAATGATACTTATAATGATGATTGTTATGAGACTGGCCTATGTAAATAATGACAATGAGAGAATAGTAATTGTTACAAGTATTGCCATTACTGATGACAATGATAATGATGAGATAATAATGTTGTTACAGGTATTCAACTGTTATCATCAGTATCATGATATGTTACATTTATAACTGCCAATGTATTCATTAATTATCACAATTTTTTGCTTTTTAATTCATACTTCTCTTTACTTATCGGTATATTTCATTCATCGTTATTACCTCCGCCAAGGAAGTTATGTTTTGGTAGCGTTGGTTACTTACTTTGTTAACAGAATAACTAAAAAAAAAAAAAAAATTCCATTATATAATACGTATATATTCCCCAGAGTTGTGTCGTAGCCCCACTTACATGACTGAATTTTGGTGACATCTGATCACATTCTAGATCCAGGATTTTATCTTAAATAATTGCTTTAGTTGCCCCCATTGCCTTGACTGTAGGGGTAACTATTATTAATATTAACATTGCGAGATAGGGACAAATTTTTCCTCTTGAATGATTATAATCCTGTTGCTCTGGCGGAAGTATGCGCTGTCTGAGTGCTTCTCGTGGTTAATTATTGTCATTATCATTGTTATAATCGTCTTCATCCTTCTTATTCCTTTTTTTTTGTTTTGTTTTCCTTTTTCTCTTGAAGGCATCACGTGATCCAACTAATGAGTCTATATAATTAACAGTGATGAGAAGTATGTTAATTACCTCGATAGCAATAGAAAATAATGAACAATGATTAATAATTGATAATAATAAAACTAGAACGATAGAATAACAAAATAAAAGGAAAGTTAGATAATAATACACTTAATGATACAATAATACTAGCAATAATGATAATGATAATAATAAGAAATAACAATATGATAATAATGCCAACAACAACAAAAAGGATAATGATAATGATAATGATAATAATCAACAATGATAGAAATACTAAAAGTAGTAGTAATAGCTATTGTAATAATAATGATAATATTAATATTAATGATAATAACAATGATGATCAAAGCAATGACAGTGATAATGATGTAATGATAAAAATAATGATAATAATGATAATATTAATGATAATGATAATACTAGTACTACTGCAACTACAAACGTTGATAGTGATTCATAATGATAAATGATGATGATAATTATGATATAATAATAACAATAACAGTGATATCGATGATCATGATTACAATAATGATGGTAACAACAATAATGACAATTAATACCTTAATTCATAATTAACCTTAATTCCACTAAGATAATGACTGCAAAACCTTTTACACTGCAAGGCGAAATTACGTACACATTCCCAAGTGTATTTAATGGTTCGCACACAAAGTGGTCGTGTGTGTATTTTCTGGCGCGAGGTCTACGGTGTGTACACGTGTAAACATCAGACAGCGAGGCGTGGAATGAGTACACGCCATAGTGATAGACAAATAGAGAGGTAGAGAGGTAGAGATAGATATTTAGGTCCATACATAGATATGTATGTATACAAGCTATCTATCTATCTATCTATCTATCTATCTATCTGTCTATCTATCTATCTATCTATCTAACTATCTATCTATCTATATATATATATATATATATATATATATATATATATATATAAGGCCCGCCCTCTCCCCATCATGATACACGTCTCAAGCAACATTAAGGCTGTTCCTGTTGATTCAGCAAGTTTCAGAAGGCTTGAGACAGAACGACTTGGAAACGTCTGGAGAAAGTCTATGTCCAACAGCGGATTTAAAAGAGGATATATATATATATATATATATATATATATATATATATATATATATATATATATATATAATGTGTGTGTGTGTGTGTGTGTGTGGTGTGTGTGTGTGTGTGTATATATATGTGTGTGTGTGTGTGTGTGTGTGTGTGTGTGTGTGTGTGTGGTGTATGTGTGCGCGCACATACACACACACACACACGTATATGTAATATATATACCTACATGCATACACACATACACATAGATAGATGAGGTGAATGTGAGCGCACGTGCGCGTTTATATGTGTGTGTGTGTGTGTGTGTGGGAGAGAGAGAGAGAGAGAGGGGGGGGGGGGAGAAAATACTGCTTTCATGTCCATTGCTTTATCATTCAAACGCTTAAGAAAACAATTCGAAATTGATAAGAAAAAATACGCATTTTCCACTGTAGCTTTCACTCCAACTTCCCTAGAAATACCATAGACCTTGAAACCTCCCTGAATTTGAAACTTTAAGACACACTTGGCTGCTGACATCACGGGAGAAGAAAAAGAACGAACTGTATCATTATCTTCGTACCCAAAGTCTCATTCATGGCTATCAACATTTGTATCGCATAATCGTAAACAACACATAATCAAGGAGGATCCAACATACTCTTACGTGCTACCAAACACATATGCCAACTGTAGGAAAAAATTGTCTTTGGCGTGCTAAGAATACTATCAGTATATTCACATGTATCGAGTGGACGACATACAGGGACATCACAGACTGTTAAAAGGTATTTCATGCACCGACACACACACGCACACACACATACGCACACACACACACACACACACATATATACACAACGCACACACACACACACGCACACGACACATACACAACACACACACACACACACACGCACGCACGCACACGCACACACACAATACCATGCGTGGTCATGCTCTTTAACCGGAATGAATGAAATTTCGATCCATACGTCTCGGGGGAAAGTTCTGAATTAACCGTGGCATTGTAGAGGCACTGTTGTGGCACGTGGGTATAGTGCCACGTGGGAGAGTCGTGACGTCATGAGTCCTTCGTGGAACCGCGCGACTGACACCACGTGACCTTGGCCAGGATACGGATGCCTTGTGGAAGGTCAGTATTTTGTGGCTTGACCTTTGCCTAACCAATTTGGTGTTTGTGTTATTATTTTTTATTATCATTAGATTTTGTGCCATTGTCATTATTATTACCACTATGATAATCATTATCTATATAATTATTGATATCAAGTTAATGTCACTTTGTTTTCAATGTTATCATTATTTTAATAAGCATTGATACTATTATCATCATTATTATCACTGCTATTATTGTTATCATTATTACTTTTAACCTCATTATTTTCATTATTATCATCGTCGTTATTACCATCAATATGATTATTGGTATCATCATTATGATTATTATGAGAATCATTATAATCTTCATCCTAATCAACACTACTGTTATTATTATTATCATTATTATTATTATTATTATTATTATATTACTATTTTCAGCGTTATTAGCGGTAGTAGCAGTAATGATGGTAATATCACGATCATTATGATCATTACTGTTATCATTACTGGCGTCATCATTATCATCCTCTTTATCATTCTTATCATTCTCCTTGTCTTCATTATACTTATTGCTATTATGATTATTATTATCACTATCATTATCAATATTATGAATATCATAACCATCATTATTATTTTACTCCTAATACTACTGGTAAAAATAATAGTGGTATTGACGATAATTGTTATAATGATCATTATCATTGTTTTGCTGTTGTAATAATTACTAAAATTGTTATTATCCTCATCATGATTAGTACCTCCAGTTTGTTTTTATTCACTTTGGTTGGTTTGTTTGTCCGCTGGTTGGCAGGATAACTCAAAAAAGTTATTAATAGATTGTTCTGAAAATTTTACCATAGTAGTGTGTCTCAAATTCACTTTAATGCTATTTAATCCTGATGGCGATCCGGGTATTATTTGTTCCTTTATTATTATTATATTATTTTATTATTATAATTGTTATTATATTATTTTATTATTATTATAGTATTATTATTAAAATGTTGGTGGAGATCCGGGTATTATTTGTTCGATTATTATCATGATTCCTCTAAAAGTTATGAAACAGATTTTTAATGAAAATTTTACCAGAATTGTGTCTTAACCTACCTTAAATTCCATTATATGATGAAACGGATCCAGGAACTTTTAGAATTATTGTATCATTACACCTGTTGCCTTGTTTACAGACGTCACCTGTGTACTTGAAAAAGGTGATTTTAATGTAATTCTTAAAGTGTGAATATCTTTATTGCTTTTATTTATTTATTTATATTTATTGATTTTAGTGTAATTCTTTAAGTGTGAATATCTTTATTGTTTTTATTTATTTATTTATATTTATTGATTTTAGTGTAATTTTTTAAGTGTGAATATGTTTATTGCATCAATGACCTTATTGCCTTGGCGGAGGTATGCGCTCTCTGAGTGCTTCTATTTATTACCATTGTTGTTGTCATTATCATCATTATCATAATTATATTTACTATTATCATTATCATAATTATATTTACTATTTGTACTCATTAATGTTGTCATTGTTTTAATGATACAATAATGATAATGTTATTATTACTGTTATCATCATTATCATTCATCATTTTTACTATTATCATTATCATTACAGTTATAATTATCATCAGCAACAACACAAACACATACGGGGGGGGGGGGGGGGTTAAAGGGAAAGGGAAGGGGGGAGGAGGGTCAGGCGGTTCAGAGATAACAAATGAGGATTTTAGAGGGGGGGGGGGAGGGAATAAAGGAACGAAGGAGGTGGGAGAATCTAAAAAAATGGGAAGAGATAGATGTTGGTCTTAAAAGTGGGAGTGAGTAAAGAGAGAGGAGTTCTTCTTCTTGTTATAGGGCTTTAGAGTAAAATTGTCTATATCCCCTTAAGAGAAGAGTTATTTTAAGGGAGATTTGGGAGAGAGGGAAGGCAGCAGATTGCGAAAGGGAGGTAGAGGGAGAGGGAAAGAAAAAAGGGAGAGTAGAGACAGAGGAATACCTCTTACTTATTTTTGTTAATTAAATTGTTAATAATCTTATCATTCTTATTATCATTACTTAACTATTAATATAATTTTCATCCTCATTACTATGATCATTATTCCTATAAATGATTGTTTTTATAGTTTTCTACAATGAAAGGATTTATATAAAGATAAAAACATGAGTTTCTTCGAAATAAGTTTATGTTATACCTTTATTATATCATGCGTCTTCATAGAAAATGATGTAAGGTTAGGGGTAACTATGAAAAATTGCTAATGTGATTCTTTTTATATGCCCTTAAGGTAGCATGAGATAAATAATAAGAAAAAGAAAATGGAAACGAGGAAAAGTTTGATAAGCAAGGGAAAGAATAATAAGAAAAAAGTATATGAAGAGAAGGGAGGAAGAGGCAGATGAAGAAGAAGAGTAGGAGTAGGAGAGCGAGGTGGAAGGAGGAAGAGGAGGTGGGGGAAGAGGAGGAGGAGGGAGGGGAAGAGAAGGAGGAAAAGGGAAGAGGAGGAGGGGGAAGAGGAAGGGAAGAGGAGAAAGGAGGAGGGAGAGAGGGAGAGAGGAGGGAAAGAAGGAAGGATGAGCGGGATGAGGATGAGAAAAGTAAGAGGATGTTTAGTAAGAATAAGAGCAAGAGAACGAGAGGGAAGAGGAAGAGGAGGGTGAGGAAGGAAGGATGAGGATAAAGATGAGGGTGAGAATGAGTACCATGATAGGAAGAAGAAGGAGGCTGGGGAGGAAGAGGAGGAGGAAGAAGAGAAGAAAAACAAAGAGGAGGAAAAGAAGGAAAAAGAGAAAGAAATTCAACCAAGAAGAAACGCCGAAATAATACTTACGTAAAAAAAAAAAAAAAAAAAAAAAAATCGTGCATAGATATAAGGCATTCCAAGTCATATAATTAAATGATAAGTGAATCTAACATCGTCTTACATCTCTCTAATTTTGACTGATGAATACCCAAGCAAGGTGCACCGCCTTTTCTTCTCTTGGAAGACAATTTATAACTCTTCTGACAAATGAGGAACGAGTTAACCACACAGCTCTGTATGCAAATTACTATTCCGGTTTTGGGATAAGAAATTTTACGTCTCTGTATTTCTCATGGGGGAGAAATGGGCAAAAAATATATACGTAATGTTAAGAAGTATTCGAACGGGTAACCTTTTGGCTTTAATTATCCTAAGTGTTGAATTCATGGTTGTTTTATCTATACTGGGTTCTCGCTTGCAATCCAGGCATTGATATACAATTCGCAATAAAATCGGGAGAAAACACATTGGATATATATTATAAATTTCATATTCATGCCGTTGCAATAGCCTGTCATCAGTCATGGAGCTATTAATACAGTAGGAACCAACTTGTTAATGATTATCATAATTCATATCATATTATGTAAACGTAAAAAGACGGAAAAGTGAATACAGATGGGAGTGGTAAAAACCAGCGTAGAATACGTAATTTCGTAACTGTTGATCAACGGAACTCGCTTTGTAAAACCGTTATTTTCTGTTCTTGGTGTTGAGCAGACATCACCAACCCACACACATGCATAAGTTATATATATTCATTTGTCGAGCGTGCATTTATACTTTGTGTTATCGCTCCTATTATAACCAAAGCCATCGACTTATTAAGGTATTTGATATCTCAGGGAAGAAAAGCCAAATCACGGGCACTGGTTGTTGTGGTTTTAATATGCCTTCCACCCATACAGTTGAAAATTGCATTATTATTATCCCCCCCCCCAAAAAAAAAAAAATATATATATATATATATATATATATATATATATATTATATATATATATATATATATATATATATATATATATATATATATATATATATATTTCACGCATCCGGCAGGTAGGTCTAAAATTCTATTCCCTAGAAACAGAATATAAGTTTGGGTTCCAATTCTGACTGAACCTGTTAAGAAAAAGAAAGAAAAGAAAGAAGAAAAAAAAATACTCCGTTCTCATCGGTGAAACTATTCCCACAAAACTGTTCCTAAAGCAAAAATTACACCGTTCCGAACTTAATCTTTCACTAATCAGACAGCGGATGTTTGGTGAAAAGCGAATAATATTTGGGGAAATTTCAGTTACAACTACTGTTTTATACTATTCCTGAACGTGAATACTGTCGCAGTTCAGTGGTAATAGTACTGGCTTTTGGGAGGAAAAACAGGTGTCCTTTTAATTTAATTACCTCGGTCGGTATACTTAACATATTTACATTTGGGGACGTTCTGATCATGTGTGAGTCCTCAGTCACTGGATATATAATAAGAATTAACTTAATTATAGCATAATAGTGAAATTATGATATACACTGTGACTATTCTTACCAGTCATGACAATTTTTTTATAAACTATTCTTACACTTTGGGGAAGTTTCGGTAAC